TACCTTTATTTCTACTACATCGCAATATAATAGTAATATGTCTAAAAATCCGTGAAAAAAAAAACAGATAGAGACGGAAGGAGTATTATTTTTTATACTAGTAGCATTCTTTTAAAAGGAACATGTGTTTAAATATTTTTAGTATTATATTTAAATAAAATATATAAGATATCTTTTTCTAGATAATAAAATTTTATACTAAAATATAATCAAATAAAAAATATATTTATTTATTTATAGTTAACTTAAACGAGTTTTATAAAAAAAAAATAGGGAATTTTCAATTTACATAAAAATATTTGTTTATGGAAGGAAAATAGACATTCAAGGAGGTTTTGAATGATCCCATAGGTTATGAATTTAATTAAATTGATTTATATTTATTAAGTATATTTAAAATAATAAATTTACTAACAATTAAAATAAGTCATCTATTATAGGACAGACAAAAAAAAAAAAGAAAATAGTTAGAGCAGGAGTATAATGTTAATAAAAAAATTGTAATAAAAAGAAAGTAAAACCATACCATACCTAGTTGTCTTCAGTTTCCGTTGCAATTTGTGTACATTCCTCGACTTCGGTACGAGAATTAGCGAGAGCATCGCCGGATTCTAACGCGGGAAAAGTCTCCGGCAGTTCAATCGCACTCGATGGGACGACAATGCCGAGCATGTGTGCGCCACATCTGCACCAATGAGCAGCATCAGTGTGTCTAATTTGGCGCCGGAGGATTATTGTTGCAAAATTTTTTTAATTGTTTTATAGTTTTAGAATCAATTATAGTTTTAAAATGATAATGATTAACGTACAAAACTTATATGGTGTGTTTGTTTTAATTTGTGAGATTGTTGAAAAAAAAATAAAATTATGCGATCCAGATATATTACGTGGAATATAAAAATACTACATGTGTATAGTATATAAATATTTTTGCGAAAACGTGCCTAAAGAACAAAGCCTTAAGAAAAATCTTTTACCTTTAATTATATTTTTGTATATCAAATATATATGCCCCAATATCTTCGATTTGTTTGCAAAAAGAATTGAAAATATGTTAGAAATGAATGTGTGCCTAGCTAACAGGCAACGTCATATCTTTTCAAAAAATAGATTAATTAATAAATCTTGTTAAAAAATTGTATTGATATTCACGATGAAAATATATGGCATAAAAAGACATAAACAGAATAAGACTAAATCTAAATCTACTCAATTTAAAACTCAATATTTAGAATATCTAAAAACATGCTATCTAAATCTAAATCTACTCAATTTAAAACTCAATATTTAGAATATCTAAAAACATGCTATCGTATAATGCATTTTTTATTAAGAACTTTTCTAATTAAATTACTCATTTATTTATTTATTTATTGTATTTACCTTGAAGCAAGACACTTTGTTTGGGGATTGGATTTTAATTTCATTATTCATCTATTTTTTTTCCCAAAAACATCAAATCGAACACCTATTTTTTATTTTTTATATTATACTAAAAATCGATTTTACATTATCACATCAACACACCTATCACATCATGCAACTATTCAAATTCAAAATTTTTACTATTCAAATCTCAACTCAAAATCCAAACCCCAAACAAACACACCCTTTGTTGATTATAACTACTTTACTAGATAGAGCACATCTGTTCAGAATAAGATTTAAAATTTTAATTGGTGAGGGCACTTTTAATCACATTTGAAATATATGTATTGTGGCTCGAAATTTTTTCGGCAACTCACCTGAACGAGTCTGTTGAAAATTGGGTGGTTCTCCGACTTCTTCCAAAAAATATCTGAAATGGTTTGGAAAAAAAAATAATAGTTGGAGGTAAAATGAAAAATTAGATGGATTCTCTGACTTCCTTATTAAAAAACTGAAACTGTGTTTGAAAAAAAAAAATTAGAGGAAAAAGAAAAAAATTGGGTAAATTTTCTGACTTTCTCCAAAAAGATCTGAAAGGGCGTTTGAAAAAGAAAACAATCTGAGAAAAAAAAAGGAAAAAATTGGGTGGGTTCTCCCACTTCCTCCCAAAAGATCTGAAAAGGTATTTGAAAAAGAAAAAAATTGGGTGAGTTCTTTAACTTCTTCCAAACAAATCTGAAACGTTGTTTGAAAAAGAAAATAATTGGAGAAAAGAAAAAATTGGGTGGGTTGTCGGACTTCTTCCAAAAAAAAAAAATCTGCAAACGCTGTTTGAAAAAGAAAAATAATTTAAAGAAAAATAAAAAATTGTATGGATTCTCCGACTTCCTTCAAAAAAATCTGAAACTGTGCTTGAAAAAAAAATAATTGGAGGAAAAAAACATTGGGTGAATAACCTACTTCCTAAAAAAAAAAAAAAAAAACTGAAATAGTGTTTGAAAAAGAAAACAATTGGAGGAAAAAGAAAAAAGTTGGGTGAGTTCTTTGACTTCTTCTAGAAAGATCTGAAATGTTATTTAAAAAAATAATAATTTGAGAAAAATGAAAAATTGGGTGGATTCTCTGACTTCTTCCAGAAAGATCTGAAATTTTATTTGAAAAAGAAAATAATTTGAGAAAAAAAGAAAAATTATGCCAGTTCTCTGACTTATTCCACAAAAATCTGAAATTTTATTTAAAAAAGAAAATAATTTGAGAAAAAAAGAAAAATTGAGCTAGTTCTCTGACTTCTTCCAGAAAGATCTGAAATTTTATTTGAAAATGAAAATAATTTGAGAAAAAAAAAAAGAAAAATTGGGCTAGTTCTCTAACTTCTTCCCGAAAGATCCGAAACGTTATTTGAAAAAGAAAATAATTTTAAAAAAAAGGAAAAATTGGATAGGTTTTTCCTACTTCCTCTAAAAAGAATTTGAAAAGGTAAAAAAGAAAAATAAGATGGTTCTCCGACTTTCTCAAAAAAAAAAAAAAAAAAAAATCTGAAATTAGAGTAAAAAGAAAAAATTAGATGGGTTCTCTGACTTCCTTCAAAAAAATATGAAACTATGTTAAAAAATAAATAAATAATTGGAGGGAAAAAAAATTGGGTAGGATTTTTGAAAAAAAAAAACAATTGGATGTGTTTTCTGACTTCTCTAAAAAGATCTGAAACGTTGAAAAAAAAACAAATTTGATGAAAAAAAAAATTGTCGTGGGTTCTCTGACTTAATTGGGTTGGTTATCCGACTTCCTCCGAAAAAAATCTGCAAACGTTTCTCGGACTTCCTCCAAAATAGGATTTGAACCTGTGTTTGAAAAATAAAATAATTGGAGGAAAAAGGAAAAATTAGATGAGTTTTCTGACTTTCTTCAAAAAAATTTGAAACTGTGTTTGAAAAAAAAATAATTGGAGAAAAAAAAATTGGGTGAGTTCTCCGACTTCCTCAAAAAAATCTGAAATGGTGTTTGAAAAAGAAAACAATTGGAGGAAAAAGAAAAAAATTGGGTGAATTCTATGACTTCTTCCAGAAAGATCTGAAAACGTTTGTTTGAAAAAAAAATAATTTGAAAAAAAATGAAAAATTGGGTGGGTTTCTCTGACTTCTTCCAGAAAGATCTGAAACGTTATTTGAAAAAGAAAATAAAATGAGAAAAAAGAAAAAATTGGATAGGTTCTCCTACTTCCTCCAAAAAGAATCTGAAAAAGTAAAAAGAAAAAATTAAATAGGTTTTCTGACTTTCTCAAAAAAAAAAACAAAAAAAAAAACAATCAGGTGTTTGAAAAATAAAATAATTTGAGGAAAAATAAAACATTGCGTCCGAAAAGGATCTGAAACGGTGTTTAAAAAAAAATTGGAGTAAAAAGAAAAAATTAGATGGATGTTCTGACTTCCATAAAAAAGAAATCTGAAACTGAGTTTGAAAAAAAAAATAATTGGAGGAAAAAGAAAAAATTGAATAGGATGTTTGAAAAAGAAAACAATTTGAGAAAAAGAAAAAAAAATTTGATGGATTATCTAACTTCTTCCAAAAAAAATCTGAACCGTTGTTTGAAAAAGAAAATAATTGGAGAAAAAAAGAAAAATTGGATGGGTTCTCAGACTTCCTCCAAAAAGAATCTGAAAAGGTAAAAATGAAAAATTAGGTTGGTTCGACTTCCTAAAAAAAAAAACAAAATCTGAAATGATGCTTGAAAAATAAAATAATTTGAGGAAAAATAAAAAAATTGGGTGGTTCTCCGACTTCCTCCAAAAATGATTTGAAATGGTGTTTGAAAAAAAAAAATTGAGGAAAAGGAAAAATTAGATGGGTTTTTTGACTTCCTTAAAAAAAATCTAAAGTAGTGTTTGAAAAAAAATAATTTGAGAAAAAAAAAGATTGGATGGATTCTCGATTTCCTCCAAAAATATCTGAAAGGGTGTTTGAAAAAGAAAACCATAGGAGAAAAAAGAAAAAAATTGGGTGAATTCTCCAACTTCTTTCAAAAAGATCTGAAGAAAAAGAAAATAATTGGAGAAAAAAATGAAAAATTGAATAGGTTTCTCCAACTTCTTCCAAAAAGGATCTGAAACGGTGATAGAAAAAGAAAACAATTGGAAGAAGAAAATAAAGAAAATGAAATAAACAAAACTGACAGAAAATGAAGAGAAAAGAAATAAATAGTATTGGTTCCAAACATGGTGTAATATTTTTTTAGGTGGATATTATTAAGTTGGATAACCTAGAAATTAGGTGATGTGACAGAGAGAAAAATATATATTTAATTTTTTTATTTAGACGATGTGAGGAGATAAAAATGGAGTAGAAATTAAATATAATTAATTATTTTATATTATAAATGTTGCAGTTGTTAATGTTTGGAACGGAGGGAGTATAAAATTAAAATGCGGTGAGAGAGACTCACGTATGTGTCATTATCTAGAATAAAATAAAATTATTGCTCAAATTAGACTTTGTTTTATTGGGCCATGATTCCGACTTGGGCTTCGGTTGGGCTACTTCATTTTAAATATATTTTTACCTATTCTTTTTAAAGCTTGCGCTGGTCAAAGCAGTAAACTTATAATTATGGTAATCATTTAATAAACCAACTTCAATCATAGCCCATGCCCATTTACAGTGAATCCGACCCGCAGTCACTCTGCAAAACCTAATTGTCATCGGCGACGCCTCCTCCGTCCACGAACGCTCACGGAGTTTTTCTTCTCCTCTGTAAAACTTATTGATTTCCGGTGTCAGACATCTCTCCTCTCAGATAAATAAAGGATTCTTCCCCTCTTCTGTGGTTTTCCTTTCTGCAACTCGACGGATTTGGCGAACCCTGCTGGTAAGTTAATAGGTCTTCACGCGCGCAGTGCACCCACACACAGTTACACAAATTTATGTATGTATGTATGTTAATGTGATGTTGTAGCCATTTGAGTGTCTTGGATCGAATCATGACAATATTATTGATGTTTGTTTCTTTGCATTCTCCGGAAATGAAATCGATAGATAGATAGATATGTACGTGTGCTGACACCGACATCTCTTCTGTGCTTACTGAAGATAGGTATTTCGGTTTCCGGATCTTTTTACAAAGTATTAGTTAGCATAATTTACTAATTAGTAGTGCTGTATTGTTGCCTCAATATTCATTCCCTTGTGTTTGTTTGTTAGTTTTGTTTATTTTACATTCTGATTTGGAATTTGAATTTGGATCTACTGAGTAATGGAAATGATGGCATTAAGTAAAAGGTCTGAGCAGGAAGGAAGGAAGGAAGCATTGCATTGATGGAATTTAATTAGGAAATTAAATTGATCTAGAAGAGGGCCCCTGTCTGGCAGTGTATGAGTATTTACACAGTGTCTGAGGTTCGCAACCTCTTCAATAATATGAACACCGTCGCCCTACCTCACCTGGTCGCCATTTCTCGTCTTGTACGTGCTCTGGCGATTGATGATGGATGGGGTGGGAGGCGTTTAGGGGCTGTAAGAAAGGCGTGGATTGCATTCTAGCATTGAATTGCAATTTAGACTTGAGCCCTACAGGTTGGGTGGGCTTTCTTCCTTCCTGCGCTGATCTCATCCCTCTTGCTGATCCATTATTCTTTTATTTTTATTATTCTTCAGTTTTTCTATTAAGTCAAATTTGTCTTTGATTTTGTCATTACCCATGTATTCTGTTTGCATCATGTTGATTATCTTTTATGTCTCAGAATTGTGGATCCATGGCTTTGGTGCCTTCTGATTCTGCGGCATTGTCGTCCTCCCAGCACGCATACCCTGCTACGGGAACCACCTCATATTTCCCGACGCCGTTTCACCTTCAACAAACACCTGCCCCATCCTCAGCCCCTTACATCGGGGCAACCCCACCTCCTGCTGTTCCTTCAGTCGCACAACCTGTTTACCCAGCTCCTGTTGGCGTCTACTCTTTGCCTCAATATCAACAGGTGATTATCATAAATCACTTTTAGTTACAGTAAATTATAGCCTATGCCTTCGATTTTTGGACCTGGTGGAGTTACTCAGTAGATTTGAAGGGATTGAAACTTGTATCTAAATCTAGGGGAAAATTTTCAAAATTCTAAAGCTCTGACTACCTTGATTTAAAGCCGAACGTAAAGCTACACTTTTGTTTTTGGGGTTTGGGTTATTTTGCTGTGATTAGAGGTGGGGTGGCTCGTCTTATGCTTCGATGCGCTAATGAAACAAATCATATATATATTATATATATCAAAGTAGCTTTTTCAGAATTTAGTTCTGTATGAGCTGTGGTCCAATCCAATTCCCACAGGGATTGTTTAATGCTTTCATCTTAAGCATAGAAAACGTGTCTCTAACGAAGGTGTGAACAAGTGATGGTGTATATATTAATGATTTATTGGAAGTTTTAATTGAAATTGAATATGTGCATTTGTCCATTGATAATTCTGTTAATGTCTCTGTTCTAAAATAGCAGCTGTGGATGTGGACAGGCCCAACAGTTGTTTCAAAGGGATGCTCAGACAATAACACCTGAAGCTCTTGAAAGTGTAAAAGCTGCACTCGCCAGTGGTGATATAGAGCACAAAGCAGAGACTAAAAAGAAAGCAATTCCGCGGAAAGCAGCCGGGCAAACATGGGAAGATCCCACTCTTGCAGAATGGCCTGAGAGTATGAACCTATTGACTGATTTCTATTAATCTCTTTGTATGTTTTTATCCTCTTCATCGATTTGTCTAGTGTTCGATGTATGTTAAGTTTTTTTATAAAATATCATGAGCAAGGGACTGCTTACAAATGTGGTGTTATTTTATAAAATTGTTCCTTGGTTTTGTGTATTTAACTACCAAACCTCTAGGTTTTATTTTGTCTGCTCTAAATAGCCTTCTTCAGAACTAGAATCAAGGTATAATTAGGGTTATTTTTAACTGAGATGTGACAATTTGAATATAGTTGTTATGGTGTGCTGGGCCTGAGGCGGATGCCAAAGGTGACGTTGCCATGGTCCGTGACACAAGGAGGGATTCTAATAAAAAAATATTTTTATTATTTGGGTTAATTAGAATACATTATGGCTTTGAAAAAAAATAAAATTAAATAAGCATATGGAAAGTTTTATTTTATCTTTCTTCCAAGTTTCTCTCTGCCTTCTGTTTTTCCATATATTCCCTTTGCCACTCACGCTTCCTTACATTTCCAACTGTGCTACCGGTCTTCTGCCAGGTAAGGTAGCCTGTGGTTGCTTTTCTTTTTCTCTTACTATATCAAAGTGATGTATTGGTTCTTACGTCCTACATAATTTTTATAAGATACATGAATGGCTATTTTTGTTCGTTGAATAATATGTTATACTAATTGCATAAGTATGTACTATGTATTATAAAAATATATTACTCCCTCCGTCCAACATATGGTGAAATATTTGGTTTCCAGCACGGGAATTTTAGGTGAGTAGTATTAAGAAAAATAAATTAGGAATTAAGTGATGTAATGAGAGACATAAATTTATGTTTATTTTTTTTATTTGAATGGATGTGATGGGATAAAATGTAGTTAATTATTTCCTATTTTGAAAATATTACAGGATATATAGGACAAATTATAATGGAAAATGTTGCAGGGTACGTAGGATAGAGGGAGTAGTATTTATAGTGTGCAATGCGCATGCACCGTTGCTTGGCGCAGTTCTTATGCCTCGCGTCATGTACCATCTACAACTTTTGGTCTTTAGTTGATTGCTAGAATAATTGACTATGCCACTATGGATAATTCAATTATCTTTTTCAACTTTTTGGTTGTGTACTTGTTTTCCTTGTGCAAGTAGTTTTAAGCTTATTTTCTGCCATCTTTTCTTCATCCTGCCTTAGAGATATCAGTATCTAATCCTATCATCATGCAGATGATTATCGTCTATTTTGTGGCGATCTTGGAAATGAGGTGAATGATGATGTCTTGTCCAAAGCCTTCTCAAGATTTCCTTCCTTCAATATGGCCAGAGTATGTTTTCAACAACTCACCTTCATATTTTTGGCTTTGGAGCATGATCTAATAGGTCACATTTATTTGACGTATATATGGAATGGTGCACATGATATAAGATGTTAATCTGAGGGTCATGGAACCCTGAATTGGCTCAAGTTCATTATGTTGTGGTCTTCTTTTTTGTTATTCATTTGTGGTGTTCTTTTTCACAATGGATATGAATGAGTAATGCTGATTATAAAGTGCATCTCTATAGCTCTGTAATACCTGTGGATGTGTTGTCACTGCAATCTACTTTTTTTATTATTATTTTTTTTAAAATGGAAGGTTACTTTGTGATCGCTGTATCATGACAGTATGTTCTTAGTGCTAAAAGTTAAGAATTTAGTTGAGCTTCTTCACTATTTTTTTTTTTCTTCGGAAAAATTGCAATAAATATTTCGTATGTCAACTATCACTCTTATCTTTTAATTGTCACAATGGCAAAATATATTTAACAGGTGTCATTTTTCCGCGATTTTCGTCCTATGGCCGCCCGTCAAGTTCACGACGGATACAATATTACTCGCGAGGATAAAAAACGCGAAAAAGTGACACTTGTGGGATATATTTAAATACTCATTATGACAAAATATATCCTACATGTGTCACTTGTTCACGAGTTTTTTCTATTAGTCGCGCATCAAGTTGAAAACGGCGTAGGATAGTGCTTCAGAGGACAAAAATCGCAAAAGAATAACACATATAGGATATATTTTGCTAAGGTGACAATTAAAAGGCAAGAGTGATAATGGACCATAGGTACCGGATATTTATTGCAATTTTCTCTTTTTTCTTCTGTACTATTGTCTAATAAGCTTTTCCTTGGAATGTGTTTCCTCACTTCTGTTAGATTGTCTAGTATCTCAGTCGGGTTTTGCACTTCTTATCTGCTTGAGTAGCAATTATATGATATAACTAACAATGCCTTATCTTCATTTAGGTTGTAAGAGATAAGCGTACAGGCAAAACCAAGGGCTTTGGTTTTGTAAGTTTTTCTAATCCAACTGACCTTGTTGGAGCACTGAAAGAAATGAATGGTAATTAGTTCTCTTCCGGGTTTCTTTGTCCTTTTTTTGTTAAACAATTTTTCGTTTTAGGTACGCTGACCACCCACACCAACCCATGTCTTGATCTGTTGGGGATCTCTGCACATAAAAACCCGTAGAAGTTCAAAATTTGCTTCTCTAAGTCGATACAAATTTGAAGGTTGTAACTAAGTACATTCTTGCTTTAGGGAAATATGTAGGAAACCGTCCGATTAAACTTCGCAAAAGCAACTGGACTGAGAGAACTGATCATGAGGCCCTGGGAAGACAAAAGGTGAAAGACAATCACTGCATTCAATTACTTTGATTGATTTCCATGGCGCGAAAGAATAATGTTTTCTTTTGCAAGCAGAACCAGTCTCAGAAGAAGAGAAAGCTGCCGAAGAGAAGCGTGTTGCACAAATGAGTGGGTAAGTGTCTTTTGGTGATATAGATGAGGCCACATTAGATCTCTTATGAAATCCCCACCCCACCCCACCCCACCCCACCCCACCCATGGGCATGAGTGCAGCATTTATATAGTGTTATGCATGCTTATATGCCAATCCTCTATAGAAGGAATAGTATATTCTGGGATTTATATATGATTTGCAATCAAAATTATGCATATCTTTCTATCGACGGAAATGTTGTGGTTGAGTGGTTTAGGTCAGGCTTGTAGTACTTGCGTCCCCTTCTTTTTTAAGTCTTTGATAGATGAAGCTATAGGGATATCAAATGGGGCGGGTTAGCCCCGGACCTGCTCTTAATGGGGCGGGTTCAGGTCAAAATAATATGTTTCGGGGCGGGTTGTGGATTTAAAATTTTAAACTCGGCCGGGTTCGGGGCGGGTTACGGGTTTTACTAAAAATCCGCTCCAATCCGGACCCGAACTTGGATATTTTTTAAAATTATAATAACTAATATATATATGTACATTTATATAATAAAAATATATTATTTATTTACTTAAATAATTTTAAATATAAAATTCAATTAGTCGTCTGGTCCAAATAATTTTTTTAAATTATTATACATAATATATATATTTATATAATAAAAATATATTATTTATTTATTTATCTTATTTTTATGGATTAATATTTAATTGTTTTTAGATTTTTTTTTTTTTGCTTTTAATGCTATTTGTTTTAGTATTCGATTGTTAAAAAAATATTTATTATTATATATTTAAAAAAAAAAAACGGATTTTCCAGGTTTCCGGGTTCAGGGCGGGGCGGGTCCTGGGGCCGGGTGGAAGCAGGGCGGGTCTAGGAGTCTAATATTTTCTAGCGGGGCGGGTCTCGGGGTCTGCAGAACCCATCTCGAACCCGTGCTGTCGACATGCGTACGAAGCTACATTACATCAAGGAATGTTTCCTTGATCTCAACATCAAGATTAGAGCCTGGTATTAAGTATTCCTCCGTCCCACTCGTAAAAATGTTATTAATTGAGGAAAGATATAAATAAAAAAGTTTTGAGTGAGTCTTAGAGGTGAGAATTTTAATAAAATTGATTTATGTTTGTTAAATGGATTTAAGATTGATAAATTTACTAAATATAGAAAGGAATATCTTTTGTGGGACAGAAAAAGAGTCCTTTGTGTGTGGGAATATATATGTAATACTCCTCCATCTCATTGAAGGGGTGCTATTTTCTATTTTTGTCTGTTTCAAAACAAGGTTACTATTTCCTAATTTGGTAATTGTACTACTTAACATAATAAATACTCTTACAACTTCTACTGTATGTTACACAAATGTCATTATTTTTATATTACACAATACTAATAATAGTATTTTCGTCTTTTTCGCAAAGACGGATGAAGTATAATTTTAAAAATTTTAAGACCATTTAATATAATAAAATATATACTAATATAACTTCAAAAATTTCAAGACTATTTAATATAATAATATATATTTAATATAACTTCAAAATTTTCGAGACTATTTAATATAATAAAATATATAATTGATATAGCTTTGGAACTTTTGAGAATATTTAATATAATAAAATATATATTTAAGATGGTTTCAAAAAATTCGAGATTATTTTAACTATTCGAAATCAAAACAATTTAGCTGATTTAATATATATTATATATATTCACAGTTTTGAAATTGATTTTGAGATAATTTATGAGGCTGAATTTTATTTTATTTAATTTTTTTTTATTTTTTTCTGATAATGAATACTATTTGGGAAATCATCACTATATCATATGTTCCATATATAGGAGAATTCAAGTGTGTTTTTTTTTTTTTTTTTTTTTTTTTTTTGTCATCGTGGCCTATTTACGTTATATTAACATAAATAGTATATTATCTAGACTTTAAATCAATAGTTTTTAAATTTTTTATCGATATTATTTAAAAAAATCAATACTGTTTGTGAATTTGTTTTCTTATACAAAAAATACGTTAAATAAATTAGCAGAAGCGAATTATCAAATAAATTTAATAATAAACCGAAACGAAATTAAACACAATTGAACATAAAGCTTAAATTGTGGAAAAGCAAATGAAAGCCAAACAAACAACCCCCAATATTAATGAAAGCAATTAGGAACAAAATCAAGCAAATCGAAACCTCCCTGTTTGTGTCCTTTTGGAATTCAGCCCGAGAGATTAATCTCTTCGGCCTTCTCTACGCCAACAAATCGATGATTTCTTTGATCGATTAATCAAACAAAGACCGACACGAACGACGACGGCTTCAATCTTTGGGCAGACCCTCGTCCGACAGCAGCTCCGGTTTCTTCCGGAGATAGCGCCGGGGGTAGCGGTTGCCAGCGACAAATATCGTTGATACCGGAGGACAGCAACTTCAGGCAGCAGCACGGTCGTCTTCTCCGATATTCTCCGAAGTGCTTCGATCTTCTTTGTCCCGAGCAGACCCGGCTGCTTTCCTTGACTTTCTCTGATCTTCTTCCTTCTTTCTTGCATCGGCGAAATGAACGATTGAATTTCAGCTCAGTCCATGATGCGCGAATGGCCCGAGATAACCACGCCTCAAGGTGGAGATCGGCTCGACACCCACCGGAATTGGTCATCGGAAAGGCTCCTAATCTCACCGGAAAATACTTGTCTGAACTCACCCAAGAACTCTCGCGGATTTCCTCATCCTCACTTCTCACCTCTCGGTCTATCTCTCTTTATGAAAACTCAATACACATCAAAAACCATTATCTCTAATATAAACCTAATTAACTTCCCCAAACTAACCTAACAAAACTGTGATGTTTTGTGCATATTACACTTCGACCCGACCCGACCTATCGAAACCCGGATCCCGTGCCCGCGGTTCGACCCGATTGAGTGATGAATTGGAGGATGGGTTCGGTTGGCCTGAACCGCCCTGGACCGCCCTCAAACCGGTCCAAGGGGTCTGATATATATATACACTGCTTCCCGGTTCACTGGACAGATTAATCCTCACTCCTTCACATCGCGATATTCACTCTCTGGAGCCCTAGCTTTCCCGACGAACGCGATCGATCTGTCTGGTGCATTCCGGCGAGTTTGGCCATCGGAACTTGAAGTTCATCCACCGTGGTTGTGTTACAGCTTGTTCTAGAGCTGTTCTTCGGTTTGATTTCTCGATTCTATGTTTATGGGCTGTTCGTGGTGTAATTGATTATCCGCGATGATTTAGGCTTAGAATCTTGAGATTTCTTTCGATTAGGTTGTTAATCGCGCTGATTGTGCGTTTCTGTGGATGTCGGTAGTGTTTGGGTCGAGGTTGTGTGTAAGTGTTGCTAGTCGGTTGAAATATTGGGTAAACTGAGTCCGAACTCCTTCGATTAACAAAGTATATAAAAGATTCGATGTTTCTTGTTTCATATGTGTTCGATTAGTTGTAAACTACAAGTATTAGGTCCTAAATTTCGATTACAAAAACTAACCAATGGATTGAGCATAGAGTTATAGGTTTGGGATTGAGTTTAAGGGATATAAGGATTAGGTTTGGGTAAAAGAGGATTGGGCTTGAACAGAAGTTGGTCAACTAATTATTTATCGAGGGACTCATTGGATAACAAATACGGTGCTGAGTTAGGGTTAGCACCGTACTCTAATCTAATCGTATTAATTGAGCATGATTGTGGCAACTGAGAAATAGCATTTGCAATATATCATCCTCCAATTATCATTTCATGGCACAACACATAGTTTGTCAAGTCACATTATCCTCAATAAAATCTCATCGATCTAACATCCAATTTCAATATTCAAAACCAAACATAGACACCAACAACGCATACATCTACATCATCATCGTCGAAATAAAAGAAAGACATGTGGAAAGAATCACAACACATTAAAGTTTTCATCGAATTCCCCGACTAAGATCAAGAAAATCAAGATAGAACTAATCAATACACAAAAAAATTAGGGTTTCCTATCAAGTCCTTACCCTAATTTAACCTAACCTAATCACCTAGACTATAACCATGCATTCAATCGAATTAGGTATCGATCGACGAATCCGATTCCGATTCTGAGGGAGAAGCTATGAGAGGAGGAGGGAATTGAAGTAGCATTTGAGCTTGGAGAAAAGAGCAATAATGGTGGAATGTGTTGGGAGTGACATTGAGTTGGAACCCTATTCCAAACAAGAAATCCAGTTCAAGAAGATTCATTTCTGCTTTGCTTATTCCCCCTATTTTAGCATAGTATCCATTGCTGTAATATCTGCACCAAACACACTTCTTGCATCATTAATTCATCCAAAATATATATCCATAAAATGGCAGCGGCTATGGTGCTGAATTTCAAATTCAGTACTGTGTTGAACAACACACACATAGTTAGCAAATAGTGGACGGTAATGTTAGTGACAACACATTATTTGTATTATTATAATACAAACACAACATATGAACTAAGAACACACAGATAGTTAGCAACAACACACGGTAATATTAGTGACAACACATTATTTATATTCATATATGTGGACGAAAAATTGTATTATTTTTAATGAACACAAAATTTGTATAAATTATATTTGATTTGAATTTAAAGCGGGTCCTATTCTCTAAATGGGTCCTTTGATTCTCCTTCCGGGTGGATTTATTTTCCAACTTGGTTTTCTATGGCTTCTTTGATCCGAAGAGATTTGGTCTTCGGTTTGATTCTGCTGGCTTTTAGAGGGTTTTGGTCTCCGTGCGGGCGATTTGATCGTCAGCTTTGGATTTGATGTCGTTTTTTTAGACGATCCGAGGCTTTGATCTTTGATTTGGCTTTGCCGCTTTTGGAGGACTTTGGTCTCCATGTTGGCGATCCGATCGTCGTCTTTGGATTTGTTGTCTTCTTTAGACGATCCGCGACTTTGATCTTTGTTTTGGCTTTGCCGCTTTTGGAGGACTTTGGTCTCCGTATTGGCGATTTGATCATCGTTTTTGGATTTGTTGTCTTCTTTAGACGATCCATGACTTTGACCTTTGCTTTGGCTTTGCCGCTTTTGGAGGACTTTGGTCTCCGCGTGGGCGATTCGATCGTCGGCTTTGGATTTGATGTCTTCTTTAGACGATCCGCAATTTTGATCTTTGGTTTGCCTTTTCCGCCTTTTGGAGAGCTTTGGTCTCCGCGTGGGCGATTTGATCCTCAGCTTTGGATTTAATGTCTTCTTTGAACGATCCGCAGCTTTGATCTTTGATTTGTCTTTGCCGCTTTTTGAGGGCTTTGGTCTCCGTGCGGGTAATTTGATCCTAAGCTTTGGATTTGATGTCCTCTTTAAACGATCCGCAGCTTTGATCTTTGAGAATGTGGATTTGGTGCTCCATAACGCTTTTGGCGGCGTGTCCCTTTGACTTTTGGATCGAAGAGGGCCGAGTTGTTTCTTTGGTGAAGAACGCGATGAACATCTTGAAGCTTTGAGAGGAACTTTGAAGACCTTCCCTTGGCTTTGACGAATTCCTCAACGGCTTTGAGAGCTTTGATCCTTCCTTCAGCTTGGACATACGACGAAGAACGTTAACTTCATCGATTCGTCAACCAATATTTGAGCATTTGTCCAAATTAGTGACTTTCGACGAAGAACGCTTCGAAGGACACGAAGAACATGAAGAACAATACAAAGAGAGTCTAGAAACTTACCCTTTTGTTTGAATCATCGATGAAACTTCGGTGTGTCAAATGAACTGGCAATGACTCCTATTTATAGGGGAGGGAGGCCTTGGCTTCCTTTTCGGATGGTGCTACGTGGATGGAAAGATTTTATAATCTTTCCTTTTCCATCGGATGCCGTTTTCCATTCTTGACGATTTGATTGTGCACCTTCCTTTCTCGCCAAAATCTTTATATTATTGCCCATTTTGGAAGATATTAATTTATATACTTCATTTATTGACAAGATCTTTGTATCATTGCCTTGTTGGGAAGATATTAATTTATATATTTCTTTTATTGACAAGATTAATTTATTTTGCTGCCAAATTTATTATGGCTCTATTTATGCACTTAATATTTGTACGATATCTTCCATTTTAAGCAAATTTTTGCATTAATGGTTGATATTTATTGTACAAAAATTAACATGTGTGTATAATTAAATACCATATATTTATTTTATTGGAATTTTATTTTCTTCCAAAATACATGATATTTAATTGATTTTAGACATATATTTTTAGTGTCTAGAATATAATACAAACACAAAACGTGAACTAACATCATATGATATAGTCTCACACAACACATACAACAGTTCATTTCAGACATGCACTTGTACAACTCACATGTATTTATAAATAAACAACATCACATGTCATTATTACAAATAGTACATACTATTTTTAATAAAGACTTGTCATATTTTTATATTTTATGAATACTGATTTGAACTATACTGATTTTTCCAAATCACCACCCTAACATTCTCCCCTAAAAATACATGAAATTAATGTGTTCATGTCCATGGAGGGTTTTAGTTACGAGGTCCCGGACCCGCTACTCAGTTGCAAAAGACAGTAAATCAAATCTTTGTTGGCACTGTCAGAAAAACATGCATGCAAGAATTCACATGACTTTGTTCCACTCTGACATCACAGCTAGCCCTTCTTTTTTTTTTTTTTTTTTTTTTTAATATTGTGGATTTTACAGTTGTGTCAAACAATATTGATTCTTGGGGAGTCCCGGGAGCAGAAAAGTAACACACTATTTCAACCACGTAGGGAAGTATGCCGGAGTTCGGCTCCCTGGCCTCCCCAAGAACTACTTGCTCGACTCTTATATGGAAATCCTTGATTACCATTAAAATTAAAATAAAATAAATAGATTGTACATAAATAAGGCAGATGTTATTGTGATATATTCCCTCCGTCCCACATAATTTCTTAATTATTTGTTAATCATATTTTACCTAAATTCTCGTGTCTACAGTAATACACCCATATTACATGGGACGGAAGGAGTAATATATTGTATAATATATGCTAGCAATGTACATGCTAAAAATTTATAAAGCATGTATTATGTGTTATATTTTTATACATTGTCTAATTAATTCATCGCAATTAGCACTATAACTATTTCAATAAATAAATAAAGGGTTATTCAAGAAAAAGAAATCAAATCAGAAGCCCCAATAATAATAAATTAATAATAATAATAATAATAATAATAATAATAATAATAAAACTCACATGTCGTCCATGAACTTGACGGACACCAAGACGCTGGCGATGATCAGACGGTGCACATTGAACGGGCTGATCAAAATCAACGGCTGGCGTCGCACGAACCGATCGAGATAAACGTAGGCCACCACGAAGCAGGCCGGGCTGCAATTGGCGTACTTGAAGATCCTCTCCATGTACGACTCCACTGAGATCGCGGGCCGGGCCGACCCGTCGAAGATCGTCGCCGAATTCCGGGCCCCCGCGTCGACGACGACGTCGTTTCGCTCTGCAATTCTGTTGAGAATGGATGACATCTGTCTGATCAGCCGGAGCATCGCCGGAGCGCCGCCGATCTCCGCCGCCGCCATCGGCGCCGGAAAATGCCGCCGTAGCTGTGGTCTGGGAGGATTTTGGGAGGATTTGTTTGGGAATATTGTCGACATGGGGAAGAATGTATTAGTGTTACTGAAACGCGGAAATGGTAGTTGGATTTGGATATGAGCTGGTTCTATTGACTGGTGTAGTTTCGTTAATTTGGTTTATAAAGACCGGGACTTGCGATGCATGTTGCGAGCTCCTGCTCAATCTGTGCCGTTGGCTGTATTGATCATGGAGTTTGGGTGGTCTAGATTTGCTGAGGAGTTTGACTCCCGGGAGTGGTAAAGATTTTGTTGCTATTTTAAATTTGTTTAATTGATTTTGGAATTTAGAGTAACTAATGAGTTTGGGCGTGTATTTTCCTATTTTATTTATTATTATTATTATTATTACTCCCTTCCGCATGATTGTATAAAATTCTTTTGTCATTTGTTCTTTAATTTGATGTAATAATACCCTTATAATTTAAATAAAAATTAAAAATATTTTGATATTTATATTTATTTTTAATAAATAAAAAAGTAATATTTTTTAATGGAACAAAAAATAATAATAATAATAAAATTGAATTGGAACGGATAAAGTATTATTATTATTATTTTTTTTTTGTGCTTGTCATTTTTGTTTATTACTCTTTTCCTACTTTAAAATTACTTAAATTTGAATTAATATGAAAATTAAGAAAAAATAATATTTTAAACGATAATATTATAAAAATTTATTAAAAAATTATATGTCCACATAAATTGTCCACTTTTTCTATTTCGGTTCGTCCCACATAATTTATCTTTTTTTTTTGAAAATATGATTATACACTTTAATTATATTTTAAAATTCACAATTTATAATTTGTCTGAGTTGTGTTTGACACGTTATTTAAGAAATATTAATATTATATTGGTAGTAGGTAAAAAGTACGGATAAAATTTTTTTTTTCCCTTGTGAGTATATTAGTGTAAAAAATAGTGGCAATTATGTAATAATATTGAAAAAATAATGGTACTTTTATAGTGATATGATTATTTATGAAAATAAGACTATTATTTTGAAACGGACAAAAATGATAAACAAGACTATTGTATTGGGACGATGGAGAATTATGTTCATCCACATTGATACCAATCTTGCCCATGTACATATGGTACCAATCTTATCCATGCATGTACTATATATTCTACCCGTCCAACTTCCAAAGTCGGACGTCTGACATGCCCGCGTCAGTCTAAAATATTTATACAAATAGCGGCGATATTTATTTTGACTTTATTCCAAAAGTATAAATTTTATTCATTGTACACCTGAACGACTTTTAGAGAGTCAGTTATCATTGGAATGCCTAGACGCATCAATAATTTAACGCGTCTACATGATTGATTTTATGTGGTAAGAATGATATATAAAATTTATCTTTATTTATAAATGTTTCTAAGTTTATATAAATTAATAGATTAAAGGTTTTTACTTTTTAATTCAACATTGATTAAAGGTTAATTATCATTATTAATTGGTATTGTAAGTTTATAATAACAAAATAAAATAAAAATATGTTCATTTGAGAATTTATTATTATTATTTAGTATTCAACCCTCTATTTTTGTGAATATGTTGAATTGGGAGAATATTATTTGTGAGAAATGGACTATAAATGCTATGTTGGTTTAAGGATTAATTTTGATATATTCTTATTCATTATTTTGTTATAAAAAAAAATATATTAATAAATGTATTTTTTATTTAATATATTATAAAAAAATATTTTTTTTATTCAAAATATCATATTAATATTATTTAAATTTAAATTATTAATATTATGAAACCTAAAACTCCAAAATTCTAAACTTAAAAGGAAAAAGTTCACACTTTAATTAGAGAATTCCCTATTGGAGAAGGGTTTTGATATTGACTTTCTCTTGTGAAATAAGCAAAGTAGTCAAAAAGGATTAGCCATATTAGGGGAGAGATTTGTGTTCTTATTATATTAATATATATACCATATGCATTTTAATTTAATAAATAGAGATTTTGCTTATGTTATAAACACATATAATATAAAAGTAAATGCATTCAAGACAAAATATAGATGTCAATTGAAATAACAAATGATCATATCCTGTTTTGCTTTGTGTACACTTTAATTTGCCTATAGAAAGACATTCATGTGCTTTGTTGTAATAACAAAGACTCCCTTTTTCGATAAATTTATGTAAATTTGTGTGGATATAAATATAAAAAAAAAAAAAATACTATTTTAATATTGAAGTTGGATAGATAAAAAAAAAAAAAAAAAAAGTAGTAAATCAAGGGTATTATAAAAAAAATTATTAAAAAATTAATAGAAATAAAATGTAATTGGTATAAAAAATAATAATAAATTGATTATTATTCATTAAAAAAACAATAATAAAATTATGGATATATAAAATTATTTATAATAAATGAAATAGACATAATTTTAAGTGACGGAGTAAGCGTATAATATCATTCCCTCCCTCTCCCGCTTCAATAATTTTATTTTATTTTATTTTTTTTTACTTTTCAGCAGTTAGATTGCATTAATTACTTAGATATAGATCCAAGAATACCTGAACATGAAGGGGACTTTGTCAGAAGCATAAATAGGAAGAGACGTCAAGATCCCGCAGCAGGCTAGAGTTTTTCGAAGGTGAAGCCTTCCATTCTGCCGAGCTGCTTCAAAAGTAGACCAGAGTCTCCCGAAGACGAAGCCTTTCAATCTGCCAAGAAGATAGAGCCTTGTGAAGTTAGGGCTCTTAATTTGCTGGAGCCCGTTAGAGCAACTATAATGACTCTTTTCTAACTGGTCTAAATGATTTTATTCTGACATTTTTTTTTTATCAAAATCCAAAAAATATGTATACAATGGCTTTAATATTCAGTGATAAAAAAATTTAAAATTTAGACTTGATACAGTAGATGCTGCATTCAAGTTACTTTTTTCTTTCTTTAGCCATTTTCTCATTTCTCTCTTCTCATGTTTTCTCTTTCCTATATTTTTTTTTTCTCCACTCTCTCTTGTTTTCTCTCTCTCTCTCCCCCCTCATTCTTCTCTTTCTTCCTAGGTAGAAAAGCCATATAATGTTAATATGTAAATTCAATCAATTTAAATTTCAAAGCTTCCACACATAAGATTTGCAAAAGATACAGAAACTTCTTTCAATGTAGCCATTGCAGTTGCTTTTACTCACCAGTCAACAAGGCTCCAAATGATGAGACTCCAGAGGATCGGGCTTCAAGCGAAGCGGCTTCAGAAGATAAGACTTCAGAAGATGAGGCTCGAAGACAAAGATAGAGTCGGAGGCCCAGGTTTCTTCAGTCACAGATGGGAGTTTGGAAAAGTCAAATGTGGTTAAGCAACATGAGACATGGAAGAAACAGTTGGAAATCATATGAAAAACTACTTGGAGATAGTGGTTTGAAAGAATATATACTCACTTCCTAAAATTTAGGAATTGATTACACTTTCTATTTTTAGGGTTATATTTACTAAAATTCACATGATGCATACACATCACACATATTATCCAAAATCAAGTTTATCATTTTATTTCCAAGTAGTTTAACCACATATTTTAGGAACTTTATCCATTCCAGTATATTTTATGTTAATTTAAGTTTTTAGCATATTTTTATCCAACTTCAAGTAGATTTTAGCTGAAATTTTCTAACTCCATCTGTTTAGGCTCGAAGCCGTGCAGTAACTCTACTATTGGAGCCATTTCCCAATTGGACGATGGACAGACTTTGTGGAGTGCTGCCGGAACTAACACCGTTTGACCTTTAGGTGCATTACATTCAGAAGATACTCAAAGCTTTCTCGAAAAATCTAACTTGTAGCCACACGGGATATATTTTTTGAGACTAACAATTACATATAGATATATATATATATATACATATACTCACGGTCTCATATACATTTATAATGCTCATATATATATCCACATTCATATCTTTACATATATTAGATCATATTACTTAATATATTATCAACATGATTGTGTATCGGAATTTTACAAAATTAATCAAAGCCCATAAAAGTAATATCTCATCTTTTCTTTTAAATTTAATTATGATTGACTTTACCAAAAAAATTAAAATTATCCGACTATTTGTATCTAGAAAAAACTATATGTCATGAACTTTATGATGTAAAAATGCATATTATCTCAATGGACCTAAAAAAAGCTATTGTGAAGTATGAAAACACAATGAGCTAAGATCTGGTAAGGTAATGATCTTTGTGTGTTATCACATTAATGAGACCCTAAAATTGCAATATATTATATTGAAACACTTATTAAAATTGTAGGAGAAATTGAAAAAAAAATATATATGATCACATTAAATAGATGTATTTCCAAAGGCATGAAACAAGTGACAAGACTTACAACTTCAACTTTAAAATAGTCCAAAATTGCAGTTCTGTCATATTTAAATTACAACGCAACTGTCATTGCGTGAAGAAAATATAACTAAAATAAATATGATGAAAAAAATAATAATCTAGTTTTCATGTTTCTAACATGTTTGTGTAGCAACAATACCATGAAAAATTATTCAAAAAATATTTGTTGATAGTGATTGACACTTTTTAGCTATTTATTTTCTCCTTACATTAGTGCATTATTGATTGACAAAATATGTCATCTTTTTTAATTGGATATTTTTGAAAAGTTATCTATACTTACATTGGATAATGACTCTAAAATGATAGTTGTGTAAGATGTTTGATAGAAAAATTGAATAGTAGAAAGACATTTATTTTAAATGACGATATCTTTCATGTTTGATGTTATACACATATTTTGAACTTGATTGTTCAAGATGGATTAAAGATTGTCAATATGGCGGTAAAAAAATTCGAGAAAGTGTTAAATTTGTACAGGCTCTCAAGTAAGAAAAGAAAAGTTCATACGAGATGAAATTTTACATTTTTTTTTATGTTAAGAGCATGGTTTATTACAAAGTTGCATTTTAATAAATACGTTTAAAACAAATACAATAATTAAGGTTGTATCATTTTAGTATATT